ATATGAAAAGGAATATATATATGTACATATGCATACGTATGTATATGTATTGCTGTTGTTCAGTCACTAAGTCATGTCCGACTCTTTGAGACCTCATTGTCTCAGCATGCCAGGCTTACCTGTCCTTCACTGTCTCCCACAGTTTGTTCAAACTCATATCCATTGAGTCGGTGATGCCATCCAAACATCTCATCCTCTGTTGCCCCCTTCTCCTCCTGCCTTCAATCGTTCCCAGCATCAAGGTCTTTTCCAATGAGTCAGTTCTTCCCAATGGTGGCCAAAGTATTGGAGCTTCAGCTTCAGCATCAGTCCTTCCAGGGAATATTCAGGGTTGATTTCCTTTATGATTGACTGGTTTGATCTGTTCACTTTCCAACAGATTCTTGAGAGTATTCTCCAGCACCACAACTTGAAAGTATCAATTCTTCAGTGATCAGCCTTCTTTATGGCCCAGCTCTTACATCCGTATATGACTACTGGATAAACCATCACTTTGACTATATGACTATATGGATGTTTGTTGGCAAAATGATGTCTCTGTTTTTAATATACTGTCTAGGTTTGTTGTAGATTTTCTTCCAAGGAACAACTGTCTTTTAACTTCAAACTCAGGAGATGGTATTCCTAAAGATACAAGCTCATCACCTATAGGGGTTCTGGCTAAGTCCAAGAGGGAAACCCTGAGTATTTGCAGAGTTTCCAGAAAACTCTCAAGGTGCCATAAACACCATATTTGCATTCAATGTGCATGTAAGTTATATCTTGCTTTACAAGAAATAATCATTTTCAGGAGATCAGTTATTCAGTTTGTTGAGTTAATTACAAATGACCCCACAGGTTTGCATTAACAAGTGTCCAAAAGGCAGTGGAAAGAAACCTGGAGTCAAAACTATGGCACACGGAGGAGTTCCTTGGAGGAAGCCCTTCCCCACTCCAGCATTTTGGGTAATCATGGTGGATGGATGGATATCCTTTAATTATGAGTGTCTGCTGGATTTCTTGGGAGAAACTGTGACAAAAAGACACAGGGACGAACACTTGGTTTCCAGGACATAAGTTTAATATCTTAGTGTAAAAACATTTAGTTCACGCAGTGTCTGTATCTTTAGAACATGAAAACCATCCCTAGTTAAATCTTCAAGCCTCTTGGTCTCTTGAGAAAAAATGGAAAGATTGGCCTAATGGTGGAATTTCCTGGTCTTAGCGGATTTACAACCAACGATGCAGCAGCAGATGACCCAGGTCATAACTGTGCTGGCTGCACAGAAAATTCAATTATCCCAAATTCCGATACACCCCCCTCCTTCCTCCCCCTTACCCCTTGCTTATCATAATCTTTCCTGGGCCATCAACCCCCACTGGCTTGTCTGAGCCCAAGTTTAATCTCAGCAAATTCAGAGATAGGGGAGGACATTTCATCAGAGGGGGAAGGCCACATTCATTTTTTTTTTTCTTTCAATTGGAGTTTAGTTGCTTTTCAATGTTGTGTGAGCTTCTGCCGTACAGGAAAGTGAATCAGCCATACACATCCATTTATCGCCTCTTTGTCACCACAGAGCATTGAGTAAAATTCCCTGTGCTATACAGTAGGTTCTCATTAGTTGTCTATTTTATACGTAGTAGTGTATGTATGTCAATCCCGATCTCCCAATTCATCCCAATTCAGCCCCTTTCCCCCTTGGTGTCCATATGTTTGTTCTCTACGTCTAGTTCTCTTTCTGCTTTGCAACTAGGTTCATCTGTACCATTTTTCTAGATTCCACACATATGCATTAATATAAATATTTGTTTTTCTCTTTCTGACTCCTTCCTTCCATATGACAGTCTCTAAGTCCACCCATGTCTCTGCAAATGGCAACATTTCCTTCCTTTTATGGCTGAGTAATATTCCATTGTACATATGTACTACATCTTCTTTATCCATTCCTCTGTTGATGGACATTTAGTTTACTTCCACGTCTTGGCTAATGTAAATAGTGCTTCAGTGAACACTGGGGTGCATTAATCCTTTGAAATTATAGTTTTCAGGTATATACTCAGAAGTAGGATGGCTGGGTCATATGGTAGCTCTATTTTTAGTTCTTTAAGGAACCTCCGTACGATTCTCCATAGTGGCTGTATCGATTTTCATTCCAACCAACAGTGTAAGAGGTTTCCCTTTTCTCCACACCCTCTCCAGCATTTATTCTTTGTAGACTTTTTTGATGATGGCCATTCTGACCAGTGTAAAGTGATACATCATTACAGTTTGGATTTGTACTGCTTCCCTGGTGGCTCAGGGGTAAAGAATCCGCCTGCCAATGCAGAAGACACGGGTTTGATCCCTGGGTCAGGAAGATTCCCCGGAGAAGGAACTGGCAACCCACTCCAGCATTCTTGCCTGGGAAATCCCAAGGACAAAGGCACCTGGTGGGCTACAATCCATGGGGTCCCAAAAGAGTCAGACATGACTTAGTGACTAAACAACAACAACAAATAATTAGTGATGGTGAGCATCTTTTCACATGCCTCTTGGCCATCTGTACATCAAGAAGGCCACATTCTTGATGTCAACCAGTGACATCAGTGCAGCCCCAGTCTGACCCAACCAGCACAAAGATGAAGTATGTCAGTCCTGCCTACTCTTTGCAGCCATCTCCCAGGATGGAGAAAGCATTAGGATACAAGAAGTGATTTTTCAGGATTTTACATGGGTCCCCTGACGGAGGCCCTTACAAAGAAGGAACACTCCTGAAATGGTTTTACCTGCTGCAGTTTTAATACAGTCATTTACAATCATCGTACCCTTGGTCTGCCCTTGCCTCTCCCCGCCTAGCCACAAAGGGCTGAAGAGCATCCATGTGTTGCTGAGACAGACTTCAGGGAAGGTAAGCTCTGTGCATTGCAAGAGGCAGGCGCTCACTCAGGCTTCCTGGAAAACTCGAACTTGACTGTAGAACACCCACGGTGATGGAGGTGATGGGAACCTCCTAAAAGTGAACAGACATCCTCCTAGAGTCGCACCAAGAAAGTCACTGGGGTCCCATAGGTGTGAGAGAGAGCATCCTACATTCCCATGACTATCCCCATATCTTCCCACTGTCACCCCGCTACCACGGGCCTCAACCTCTCCATTTAACCAAGTTGAAGTGTTTAAGAGAAGGACTTCCCTGGTGGTCCAGGGGTTAAGACTCTGCTTTCCAATGCAGTGAGTGAAGGTTTGATCCCTGGTCAGGGAGCTAAGCTCCCACATGCCACAGGCTGTGGCCAAAAGTTAAAAATAAACAAATGCTGTTTTTCTAAAAGGAGAGAGAGAATTTCATCTTTAAAAAAATGTTTGGGAGAGAAGGCTTACCAAGCAAATTACTGTCACCTGACTCTGACCCCTCACGGTTCACTTGAAGTCTATGGAGTGACTATCCTCAGCTCAGGGCCCAAGGGTGGCAACGGGGAGGGGAAGGGGCACCTGTTTCAGCAGCCCAGACGTCTCCAAAGCAAGTGGGGCAGTGGGCATGGCAGGCAACTGGATTGACCAGCCTGGGCCATCCCTAATGCCAGAGTGATGACGACCTGAGTGCAGGACCACCTCAAATAGCATCTCCTATGGAAGGAATGACAAGGCCCAGTGTCCAGGACTTATTTGATCTCCAATTTGTACCCCCAAATCTTAAATTCTGTTCCAGAAGCTCTGATACTGTCAATTACAAAAAGGGACTGTACCTCCACCGGGCCCAAACTGAACCATGGCATTTGGGGCTGGGAGGAACTAACACAGAGTGAGGTGTGGTATTGATTTTCATTTCAATTTTCATATCACCTCACGATACTCCACGAGATGGGCTTGAGCCCAGTTCCCTCTTGAGGATTCAGAGGTTCTGAAATTCATTTGTTAGCAGCTGGACTTGGACTCCTGAGACATCAGGAGTGTGCAGCACCTTCTGAGTCTTCTTGGGACTCATCTGCATAACTCATCTGACATCTGCAGTGGGGACCAGCTAGCCCACAGGGATCACCAGCTTCCTTCTTCCTGTTCATCACTAAATATTTTACCTGTTGATTTGTCTGTCTCTCCATGCTGGAAGGGCTTCCCAGGTGGCTCAGTGGCAAATAATCCACCTGCCAGTGCAGGAGATGCAGGTTCCATCCCTGGGTCAGAGATGGCAACCCACTCCAGTTTTCTTCTCTGGGAAATCCCATGGACTGAGGAGCCTGATGGGCTGGGCTATGGGGTAGCAAAGTCAGGCACGACTTAATGACTGAGCCCACATGCCTGCCCCGCCGGAATCTCAGCTCCACGAGGGCAGGGCCTCTGGGTTTTGTTCCCTGCTTCACCACTGAGAACCCCTGGGTTCGGGGCATCTTTGTATGAGTGGCTGTCTGGAGAGATCAGGCTCACTTAACACCTAAGTGTGGGAAGTCCCACAGCCACCTCAACCCTGAATCCTAATTTGACAAGTGAGATGCTCTTTGGGGTTGGAAGAGGAAGTTGCTCTCAGAGTTTCTAGACGTTTACCTACCTCCCTAGTAACATTTGACCACCAAAGAAAAGTTTGCAATTTGGTTTGAAAAAGGTCCCAGGAAGCCGTCCCCGCCCACACCGGGCAGCCCCATCCCCCTACCCAGGGTGGAGAGCCAAGCCTGAGAAGAGCCCGCCACCCGGCAGCCTCCCCCGGCTCTGGCCTGACCACCCAGGTCCGCGGGCTCCCCCTCCCCTCACCGGGGGCCCCCAGCCGGCCCCCGCTCCAGCCCGCTGTGAATCCAGCCCATTTACAATTCCCTTTGAAAAGGTCTCTGTTTGGGTGAGTTCCGTGGGCTCTGCCTAGAGAGCGGCAGATTATCTGAAAATAGGTGTTATTGATCACAACCAGGTGGTCCTTGTGGAAAGGGGTCCACTCGAACCAAAATAAATATTTGCCGCACAAAGAACAAGCCGGGCCCTGTTGCGGGCGGGGCGCTCCCGGCCCCTCCGGCCCCGCGGCCGCCGGGCGCGTCGGGCGCAAACCCGGATTGTGTTTCTGCAATTAGGAAGGGGCGCGCAGGGGGTGGCCGAAGGCTGCACAAAGGGCCCCGGTTCCCGTGCCAAAGGCTCGAGGCCGGGCCAGGCTGCAGGCCCCAAGCTTGCCCGAGCCTGGGAACTGTATTTTCTTTGGCTTTCTGGCGCGCTCCTTATTATTTATTTCTTTTCCCTCTGTTTTATTTGTATTTTCAAGTTGCCGGTCGGGGCTGCATGCTGGCCATTCTCCCCGCTGCCTTGGAGCGCGGCGCGCAGACAGCCGGAGCCGCTCGGGGAGGTGCGGCCAAGGGCGCGGATGCCAGGCTGCTGCCCCGCCGGGTGGGGCCGCTGGGATCCGGCTGGACTCCGAGTCCCGCCTCACGTGCGTGACCTGGCAGTGATACTGTGGCTTTCTTGGAAAGACGATGGTGACTGGAGGTGAAACCTGGGGGACAGATCAGAAGGAAGCTGAAACCTCCTCTGACCTTTATTGGGTCCCCTCTCCCCATTCTCTGGGCAAATGAGGTCCCTGCCTCCTGCCCAGGGTCAGCACTGACATCCCCCCACCCCATCCGGGAGTGCTCCTCCTGGCTCTGAGTAATCTTTACTACATCTTCAGATCCCAAACCTCCCCTGCTTCTCAAGGTCAAGGGTGGTTGGGTGGGTGAAGGTTAAAGTAAGCAAAGAGGGTCCCACTTCTTAGTGTAGGGAGACCAGAGCCTGGGGCCATAGCCAGCATCTTGAAGAGGCTTTGGGGAAGGTGCCCCTGGCTGTCCCGAGGTCATTGTCCAAAGTCAAGGGTGGAGGGCTGGAGGCTGGAAAAGGAATGGGCCATAGGAAGCAGGGAAGGCCTAACTCAGAGGAATCTGGAGGGCGGATAGAACAGCTAGGGGCAGAAAAAGAGAGACAACAGGATAACGTAAGGACATAGAATTAAGGTGCAGTATGGCTTTCCTGTTAAGGTCAAATCACAGGAGGGCAGGTTGCTGTCCTGTCCGGGACCAGAAGGGGTCCACAGCCATGGAGGTGGGTACAGACCCGTTGCTACCCTCGCGCTCAGCCATAGACCCCCCCCCCCCGCAACCCAAGCAGCCCCTCGTGTCAATGAAGGATACATTCCTGGGGACTGCTGTTCAGCTTGTGGTCTGTTTTCTCGAGTGTGCTAAGTTAGTCACTCAGTTGTGTCCAACTCTTTACGACTCCTTGGGCTGTAGCCCACGAGGCTCTCCTGTCCATGGGATTGTCTGAGCAAGAATGCAGAGAGAGTGGGTTGCCATTTCCTTCACTAGGGGATCTTCCTGACCCAGGGATCGAACCTGGGTCTCCTGCTTTGCAGGCAGATTCTTTATCGTCTGAGCCAACACGAGTGCTCAGGTAGAATTTCAGTATAATGGTGTCTGCTTCAGGGCATCTCTGTGTGTCTTTGATTCCTTCTGCTCCCCAGATCACAGCAAGGGCTGCCGTTGAAGCCAACGTGGCATCAGCATCAGTCCACAGACCAGCCCCTATAGAGCTAGGACCACTTCCCAGGGCCTGGAGGACACACTGGGGGCCTCACCGTGCCTTTTGCTTCTTCAGTTTTTTCTTGGGAAGCCTCTTCCGAAGGAAATCCTGGTGACCTCTCCTGCTCCCCCTCCAAGCTTCAGGCTGGTTACAAGTCCTCCCATCCCAGGATCAGACCCACTTAAGACTAGTGAGCAGGAATTACTGGTCAAAGTGGAGACCTCACCACGACTCAGCCATTGAGGCAAGGCAGTCTCCAGAATTGCAAGAAAAAGATGGCATAGTCGACGTCTGATATTTGCAGTCACAGTTTCCAGTCTGTGAACAGGGGACAACCAGAAACAGATTGTTTTAGAGCTAAAAATAACCTTGAAGGACGTGTAATCTGTGGATTCTAGGACTCCAGTGTACAGATATTTGGAAAGTTCTGATTCCAGAGGTGGGCAGTGAGGTCCAATGATTCTGCACTTGTGTTTTCTTTTTTTGACTGTGCTGGGTCTTCACTGCTGTATGCAGACTTCTCTAGTTGCAGGCTTAGTTGCCCCGCGGCACACAGCACCTTAGTTCTCCGACCAGGGATCCCTGCATTGGAAGGCGAGGTACAGCAGGGGCCCTGATCCATACCATTTGCTGATCTCCAGAGTATAAAGACTTTCATGTGGCCGATTTCAGGTGACCAGCGTGAAAACTCTGAACTCAGAGCCAGGAAGAGATGCTCTCCATTGGTTCTTGTCACTTGGACCTCCCCTGAGACCCACAGCAATGAAGTGACGGCCCCTTGGGGCTGGAGTCAGGAGAGGAATGTGAATTCAGGGCTCTGCCCACAGCAGAGCTTGGCTGTCCCCTTAGTCAGCAGAAATCTTGACCACATAGCCCTGGGGTGAGCCTCACACCCTGGTGCCTTTGACCACAGCCAGAACGAAACCAGGAAGCAGAACAAGAAGCAAACAGTGTTGCCTCCTGCCTTTCCTTCCTCTTCACCTTGTGATGATGAAGTTCCTAAGAATGTGGGGTGGCCGGGGAAGTCTGAGTGCCCAACTCCTGGGGATCCTGTTCTTTGGGGGAGAAGCAAAAGAAGCAAGACAGTGATTCTGAGAAGTGTGGGTAGTCTTGCTAAAGGTGGGAACAGAATAGAAGGCAGTTTGCCAGCTGGCCTCAGATGATTCTAACCAGGGCCTCAGAAGCATTGTCGGTGGTGTTGTGAGGGGTGGGCAGAAGAGTGAAGTCATGCTGGGAGAGTCGGGATGAAGAGCTTCCTTCAGAGCTGACATAAGAAAACAGCAGAGCGTCTTCCCCGGTGGTCCAGTGGTAAGAATCCACCTTGCTATGCAGGGGACACAGGTTCAATCCCTGGTCGGGGAGTTGAGACCCCACATGTCAAGGAGCAACTAAGCCGTGATCCAATAAAGAGTCTGTGCATCGCCGCAAAGACTCCGCATGCTGCAGCTAAGACTTGATGTAGCCAAATAAGTAATTTTTTTAAAAACAGAAAACAGAAATGAAGTTCAAATGCAAACTCCATGAAAGAACAAAAGAAGCAGTTGATGAGATTCTCCCAAACTCTGAAAGTTTGGAGTTGGCTGTTTTTGGAGACGTTCACTTATATGAAGTCAGGATTGTAATTGTTTTAAGTGTCTGCTAGTTCTTCCTCATTCAGAACTCTAGTTCCGAGAATCATGAAATTGTCGAGTTCATTCTAGAGATGAGCAAAACCTGAGGCCCAGAGAGGTAACAGAATTTGCCCAAGATTGTACTGCTATCTATTCATTCAGCAGCAGATAGCATGCAAATTTTCTAGATTGAGTCCAGGCCTAGATCTTCACCTAGATTCCTAGACACTACAATGTACTACCTCTAAGCTATCCTTTTTTAATTGAAGTATAGTTGATGTACAATATTATATATGTTACAGGTGTACAATAGTGTACAATAGAGTGCTTCACAGTTCTTATGTTATCCGTGTGTGTGTGTGTGTGTGTGTGTGTGTATGCGTGTGTTTATGTTCAGTTGCTCAGTAGTGTCCGACTCTGTGACACCCTGGACTATAGCCCTCCAGGCTCCTGTGTCCATGGGATTTTGGGGGCAAGAGTACTGGAATGTTTATAAAATATTGGCTATAATTTCCTGTGCTCCACCATATATCCCTGTATTTATTTTATCCATGATAGCTTGTGGGTCTCAATCTCCCACCCCTATCTTCCCCCTCCCTCTCTCCACTGGTAACCACTATTTTCTTCTCTATATCTGTGAGTCTGCTTTTTTTGTTATATTCATTTGTTTATTGTCTGAGTTATCTTTTGTTTCAAATTATTATGAAAGAAATGCATAGCTATAATAGAAAATCTGTAGAATACAGAATATTAAAAAATGACAGTAAAAATGACCATTAGGCTACCATCTAAAGATGGTCAGATACACTTGCTACCACCTAGATAGTGGTCCTCAGCCTCACTGTGTATTAAGTGTAACTAGGAAAGCTTAGAAAAATCACCATGAAAGTGAAAAATCCCAATGCCCAAGCTGTACCGTTAAGGCATTAAGTCAGAATCTGGGGCTTGAGTGGCAAGCATTAGTATTTTTTGAAGCTCCCCACATGCTGCCAAGTGCCCCGGGTTGAGGACCATGGGCCTTGGATATTCTCCTCCCATATCTTTGCATAACTGGCTCCTTCCCTTTGGCCATTTCTGTGTTGGCTTCTGGGAGAGGCCTCTGTCCCCACTCTGTTAAAGCCCCTTCTTCCCATCCAGTCATTCTTTATCCTGACCCTCTTGAATATGCTTTGCGACCTGTATCATTATGCAGAATCTTCCTGAAGGAATGCATGTACTGTTCATTTTCCATTTACCTCCATTGGAAAGTTAAGTCCCTAAAGGTGAGGACATTGACCATATTCCTCTCTGTGCATCCCACCCCCACCCCCAACCCTCAAAGTCTCAGAACTTTGGGCCTTCTGAGCACATTTGATGAATGAATGAGTGATGGATCTGGGCTTATTTCTGAGTCTTCCTTCATGTATGTGTACACATGTATGTATGTGCTAGGTGCTAAGTCACTCCAGTCGTGTCTGTCTCTTTGTGACCCCAGGGACTGTAGCCTGCCAGGCTTCTCTGTCCATGGGATTCTCCAGGTAAGAATACTGGAGTGGGTAGCCATTACCTCCTTCAGGGGATCTTCCCAGCCCAGGGACTGAATTCCCATCTCTTATGTCTCGTGCATTGGTAGATGGAATCTTTACTACTAGCACCACTTGGGAAGCTCCAGTGTATATATATGCAACATACAACATGTATTTATATATAAGTCCTGTGTGTGTGTGTGTGTGTGTGTGTGTGTATACATATATACATATATGCAACAAAATTGTAGGTTTTTAAAAAGTATTTCAAGTCTAATTTTTTAAATTTAATGAATCAATTTTTATAAAATTTAATTTTATCCTTTTGGATTAATACTTCTTTCATGGGACATTTTTGAGAGATTGTGTAAAATGGTTACACTTGTTTAATGTGATTGGTAACGAGCGTGGTGTCACATCTGGGACTCTGGGTGCATCCCTGGAGCATCCCCTCCCCCGCCATGATCCTTCCTCGTCCACTCCCGGTCACCTCACTCTTCCTTACCACACAGGCACCATCTTGGTGTCTGCTCCTCAGGCAGCTCTCTTTGGTGCCCCCAACAAGGTTGGGACCCCCTGTGTCTGCTCTTTCCTTGGACATCTGCGCTCCGGCCTGCTGCCTCTGGAATCTGAGCCGCATGGTTCTCCAGGTGCGTTTTGTTTCCAGCCATTCCCAGGGCCCTGCTGTGTGCCCAGATGTTTGTTGAAAGCAGCTAGCATCTCACCTTATTCTGGTCCACACAGCCTCTCCCTGTTGTGGAACGTTGAGGTCTTTCATCACTACAAATAATTCTGTGACAAATGTCTATGTATGTGTTTTTATGTCAGTTGAGCTATTAGATACCTGTAGGAAAAATAACCCCGTAAAATAGAATCATGCTTTGTAATGAACACTGAAGATACCCATTGATCTCCACAGCCTTGTATGGTTGGAGAGGGTGAGTGACTTGCCAAATTCATAGGAAAGCAACCAGAAGGGTCAGGATTGGACCCTGGAGACAGGATAGCCATGAATTTTGACACAACTTGACCTGTACTTGCATGGCTGGATTGTTCCTACCTCCTAGTATTGCTAAGAGGATTAAATGAGTAAATAGACAAAGGTGTTTAGTATGTAGGTATATACCAAGCTCTGCCCTCACTAGCCACCTATGGACCTTGGGCAAATATCTTGATCTCTTTGAGCCTCAGTCTTCTTATCTTTAAGATGGAGATAATAATATTACTTCAGCTTTATTGTAGAGAAAATGAAAAGCAACTGGACTCTAGTAGACTCTTCATAAATGATGACTTTCTCTTCTGCCACCATAACCTCCCTAGAGTTATAAACTTCTACTTTTATCACATTTATTTTTTCAAAGGCTTTCACAGTCGTTTTAACAGCCCAATAATGATTAGATGACCCAGATATTTTATGTCTCTCTGTTCAATGTTTCAACAACAAAATGGTTATTAAAGAGCTTTCTGGGCCGGCCAAAGCCCTCCCTCCAGCCGCTAACTGTTGGAGGCCGACTTCACTTTCACTTTTGTGATCTGGAAGTGGATGGCGCCACCTGCTGGCCAGAAGCACGCTGCACTAAGTGGAAGGTACCGGCTTGCTTACAACTGGCCCACTGACCTGTGTGTGCCCCCCTCCCTATCAAATTCCTCTCCAGGTAGGTCTGTAATAACACCTGTTTCTACTCCCCTGGCCACCTGGTAGAGTGTCTGAAACACAGGTGAAGTCAGAAACCTACGCTTTCCGAGGTCCATCAAGACACAAGTTCCAAATGGACACACCATCTCCTCCCGTGACCCTGTCTCTCCACATATGACTCGGTCGGGCAGGATTTTCATAAGGTCTTATCACCACTAAGCTTCTAGGATTCAGTGTGTGTGCAGTAGAAGCAGAAACAGTGATGGGAGGAAGGGGAGCTATTTTGTCTCCAGTTAAGATCAAGAAAGCAAGGGCAGTGGTGATGCTCAGGCTATGGGAGCAAGGCTCAGTGTGGGACCAACCACAGGGCCAGGCACACCTTACCTTCATCATCAGAATCATCCCTCAGCTGCAGCATCACTCAAGATACCATCTCCTGGGAGCCTGTATCAGGCTTTTTGCTGGATACTTTACATACTATTTCACTGTGTATTATTTCATATGGTTGCCCTTGCAGTAAGGGACCCTCTAAGATGGGGGATAATTGTTATTTAAGATTTTTTTTAATTGGTTCATGTAAATCAACTCTACTCCAGTGAAAATTAATTTAGAAATTTTTTAAGTTTTAGAAATTTTTTAGCCTTTTTTAAAAAGGCTAAAAACTGGTTTGGGGCTTCCCTGGTGGCTCAGTGGTACAGAATCTGCCCACAGTGGCCAATGGGGAAAGCTGTGTTTGATCAAGCATGTCTGTCTTCCAAGCCTCTGAACTTCACACTGGCCTTCCCGCCTTCACCTCTCCTCTTCATCACCTCCGTCTTTTCTTCCATGCTATCAGCAGGGCATGTCCTTCAGAGATGGCCCCGGGCTCGGGTTGGGTGTGGTCACCACTAGCAACGTGGGGAAGTGAGAGAGCTGTTGGGATCATGGCGGTCTCTCACTGCCACTCAGAGCACAACCAGAACCAGCTGGGCTGGTAGTGCAGAACCCACTCATCAGTGAACCACTTACTTTTCACATTGCCCTGTGAAGTGGACAAGCTGCTCACCTTCTCAGGCTCCTTGGCTGCTCAATGCCAGGTAGATGTATGTGGCGTCCTTGTCCCCAAGGAAGCAGTTAAAGGATGTGCCTCTCCAGTCCCCAGACTCACTCCCTCTGGTCCTGGTGAGTAGTCCCCTGACCTTGGCTTCCACCTTCCTGGTGAATTTTCCTTCAAGAACGGTGACCCCCAGGCATGAGGAATATGGGTGACTCCAGGAAAGAGCCCTGAAGTGACTCAAAAGCAGAAGCCCAGGGCCCTCGCCCCTGCTTCCCCCCTCATCGCTGGTGACCTGGGCGTGTGGTCTCTGAGCAGGTTTTCCCCTCCTGGAAAACTGGAATGCTAACACTTCCCTTCCCAGCCCCTGGAAGCTAATTTCTGCCTCTGATTTCTCCACTCTACCCAGTGCATCAACACCAGAGACAGATTCCTAAAACACCCATGTAATCAGGTCACTGCCCTTCAAGGACTCCAGTGGTGGACTGGCAGAGCCAGGATGCACACTTGGGTCACACGACGAGCCTCCTCTGACCATAGAGTGATGCCGCCCTCCTGTGCTTGTGCTGTCGCCATGGAAACAATACATCACCTCCCAGGGGCCCCAGACAACCATGCGTCTTGCTCTGTTAGTCTGGGACACCTGCCCACCGGTGCCCAGCTCTCTGTCCCATCCTTTCCCTATTTTAAGTCTTACCCATCCAGGAGGCTCAGGTCAGCTGCCACCTCCTCTGGGAAGCCTTCCCCTTTCTCTGTCTCCCTCGGCACGTTCTTTTTACTTCCATTGTAGCATCTTATTTCTTTCACTCATTGAACTCAGTACCTATGCACAAAATTTCACATACAGTGATGGGTTCCACAACTTCTATCCCCTACAGGGTCCCTGGATCCTCATCAAAAGCTGATGACCCAGAAGCCCTGGAAACAATCCCCCCTTGTCCTAGCAGAGACCCCAGACTAGGTACTATGAGAACAAGGCTCTTTCTCTTGAGGACACCAGTTCTGACTTTCTCACCAACCAAAGACTGTGGGAGTTTTGATTCTTAAAGTGCTGCTCATTCAAGCAGGTTGGCTTCCACTGAAAACCCTGGTTCCAAGAGACCAGCTCATTTCCAGGCAGCTGGAGGCACTCTGCAATGGAAGAAGAATGCAAAACAGGCCCAGCCAGAATCTCTGGCACATAACAGCAGAGTAGGGGGCCTCTGGAACAAGATCCCAGCAAGTGAGGAAGAGCAGTGAAGGCATGTGGAGGGGTCGGGTGGTGGGAGATCCCACAGGAGCTGGTGTTATCTATCAGCAATGGCTCTTACACAGTAATCTGCAGGATGAATTATTAAGTAAACAGTGTTTTTAGAATGCTACCTTTTTGTTTAAGAATGGGGGCGAGTATAGATATATGTGTACTGCTTATATTTTTCAAAAAGAAACAGCAGTGTAATTAAAAAAAAAAAAGAATGGTTAGCTTCATATGAGGCAGGGAAAGGAGAGGCCACAGGAATAGAAATGAGTGTTCTAAATCCTGTTCCATGATTTTGAAACCATAGAATCAATTAAATCCATCGAGGAAAACAATGCACAAGCTCTCATCTTCAGAAATAAGCTTAGGCAGGGACTTCCCTGGAAATCCAGTGGGTGAGACTCTGCACTTCCAATGCAAGGGAGGCAGGTTCCTTCCCTGGTTGGGGAGCTAAGATCCTACACACCATGCAGCCAAAAAATCTTAAATAGCAATAATAGTAAATAGAAATAAGCTTAAATAAAAGGACCTAACTCTGTGTCAGATTGTTGCATGGTCACGCAGAGAAAAGAACTCCCACAAGTGACTTTACAAGAACTTTGCTGAATGTACATCCCCAGTAGGATATATTGTAAAGAATTTTTTAAATTCCCAACAATTATACATTCCATAATCAATAGTCTTATTGTTAGCAGTAATGTCAACACCATTTTTTGGAAACTATTATAAGCATGTTTCATAAGGCAAAAAAATAAACTTTCTCCGCACTCAGCACTTCTCCCATTTAGCTCTGGTCCCCAGGCTGATTTAAGCCCCTCATGATTCTTTATCCCAGTAACAGAAACCATCCTTGCATCCTCACTCTCGCATCCCCAGTGCCTGACTCACAAGAGGTCCTCAACAAATATCTGCTGGGTTGAAATGTAGTTCAGGGCACCAGGGTTCTACTCAAATTCCCCCAACTCATAGCCTATACCATATCCAGGAGGCCTCTGGTCTTTGTCACAGCCCCACTCACCTCTCTGCGTCCTTTGCCCATGAAGCATCAGGTGGCCAGGGGTCTACCCCGGTCACCAGTGCTCCCAGCTTCAAACCCATGCTCCTACTCCACTATGCCACATCAGTAGTCATTTACTTCTTACAAAGAAATGTTTCCACCTATTATTTCATCTAATCCTCCGCCTAACCCTATTTCAAAGCTCGCTTTTACTAATAAGGAAACTGAGATTCTATGAAGTTAAATCCTTTGTCAAGGACCCTCTGCAAATGAATAATGTAGCTTGGTCAAAAATTCTTTGGACAGATGTAGGATGAAAGCCACCGTTACCCATGTTGTCTTTAACAAACCATTCATTCATTCATTTACTGATTCAAAACCCACTTACTGACTACATGAGGCAGTGTGTTGGTGCTATAGGTACAAAGAGGTGAATACGGAATGTAAACACTGCCCTCCAGGGGTATCCAAAGCTCCATCTACCCATCTATCAAAATGAAAATATCTGTTTCTACCTCAAATGACGGATTACTGAGAGACTGAAATAAACCAACATCTATCTAGTTAGTGCAGATACTTAGGGTATATGTTGACCTAAGAGATACCACTATTCCTAGAACACGCAAGTCTAGAGGTGCTTGTCAAGCACTGGCCAGGGCCTCAGTCCAGTGCCAAACGATGTGGGATTTCTCCCAAAGCATGAGACAGAACCAGAAACAGGTGCTGACTATCCATAGGATGCAGGTAGATGTCTGGCAGCCCTGGCGAGTCCTCCCAGCAGGTGACCCACATTAGAGGATGTAGACTTGAGTGATTTTAAACCCATGGGCTTTCAAGACAGATGTGGGTTTGGGTCCCAGCTCTGCCATTGACTAGCTAGTGACTCTGGACAAGTTCCTTACCCGAGCTGCCTCTTGTGGAAAATAGGGGGAATAATAGCACCTCACTGGGTCATCGGGAAAATTAAGTTAGATAGTGTGTAAGAACGTAAGTGTTAGTTGCTCAGTCATGTCTGACTCTTTGTGACCTCATGGACTGTGGCCTGCCAGGCTCCTCTGTCCATGGGATTTCCCAGGCAAGAATACTGGAGTGGGTAGCCATTTCCTTCTCCAGGGGATCTTCCTGACTCAGGGATCGAACCCAGGGCTCCTGCATTGCAGGCAGACTCTTTGCCATCTGAGCCACCAGGGAAGACCAGATAGTGTGTACAAAGTGCTTTAAACAGAACCCCAGACATAGTAAGAACTGAGGCAGTAGCCCCTGTATTAAGCTTCTACTATAGCACAAGACAAATTTCAGGTTCCTAAAGATGTTCTGGTCTCGACAACACCCAGGGCTGTGGAAGTTGCTTGAAATCGAGTTGTGGAAGGACCCATACCCGCCCTCACCCCGCCTCGCGCCCCCACAACCTCAGCCCCCTTGCAAGTCTCCCTCTCTGCAGGGCTCAGCTCCAAGGAGTCCAGCTGGGTGCATCTGGCTGGGGAGATTAAATTATTTTTGAATTCCTAACTGAATGTTCTTTTAATGGAAACTTAATGACAAGCATTGAAATAGATTTCCTCCGTAACCCCTCCTCGTGTGGCGCCCCCCACGCGGCTCTGTGCAGCACAAATTCCGATAACCTTTATTCCCTACCCCTGGACTTTTATCTCCCCAGTGACAAACAGCTCTTGCTGGACAGAAAGAGGAAATTCCAGTCATTGTTCTCAAACTTCTGGCTTCCAAAATAAAAAGCTCTATCTCCCCTGTCAAGCTTTGATTGACATGCACTTCCTGGAATGGGGAGGACAACGGCCTGGGGGCGGGGCCAGGGCCTTATTTGCATTCTGATCATCTGAGCACAGGGGACGCGACCCCCTGCTAGTCACAGTCACCCTGTTGAGGACTCATCTCCCGTTTCATGCAAAATCTCCAAGGAAGACACCTCCTCAACTGTCCCCGTGATCCACAGGGAAGTTCTCTGCTGTCCATAGAAACAGACAGGCCAAGCATCTCACTCTTTAAATTTGGCAACTTGGAGAGGAACTTTTCCTTCCACCTTTTCTCTCTTGAGGAATAAAACTTTAGACGGTCCCCCACATCTTAACTCTACATATTGGAGCTTGACCCACCCTAAGACCTGGAAGGTTAAACCAGGATCAGACTCTGCAAGTCAAAACCACAGAGCAGCATAGCTAAGCAGGCCATTCAAGGGGAATCAGTACCCACCCACCCCCCGAATAAAACACTTTGAATACGGTGGTGCCCCATGTGGTTCAGTTTTTCTCAAAAGGACTAAGAAATGTTGAATACATTTTAAAATGGATAAATCAGTCAATAGAATCACAGAGCACACCTGTAGCAAAAGCAGTCCCTGTATGTTCAGGCCTTGCTGGGAACTCTGCTACCACCTTGGAATAAATGTTTAATGCCTTTAACATTGGCATTAAACTATGGGCAAGTTGGCCCTCTGGAACATTCTGTCTCCCATTCACTTTATTTACTCACTGGGTTCCTGTGCCTGTCATAACTCTCTCTCTATGTCCACAATTCTTAGGGTGCTTTGGGGTTCCAGCCACCTCTTAGGATCATCGCATGTTGCCTGCAGGGCCTTATTTCATCTGGGCTTTGATGGATGTAAGTATGCTAACAGTTGCTAAAGGTTCAATGTGATTACATTGGTGGCTCAGCAGTAAAGAATCCAGTTGCAATGCAAGAAATGTGGAAGGAGCTGTGGGTTCAATCCCTAGGTCAGGAAGATCTCCTGGAGCAGGAAATGGCTTCCCACTCCAGTATTTGTGCTTGGAGAATCCCATGGACAGAGGAGCCTGGTGGGCTACAGTCCATGGGGTTATAAGAGTTGGACACAACTTAGTAACCAAACAACAATGACTACAACAAAAGTTTCAATGGGAATTTGCATTAAAGAGTAGACTTCAAGTGGTAGAATGCCTTAATCCTAATGAAGCTTTACTTGGAAGCAGGCAGTCTTCCATTGAATAACCTGGAAAGAAAGGTCATTCACAAAGGTTCTGGTTGTTCTGCTCTTTCAACAATCAAGAGGAATGGATCGCCTATGATGACCTATTGATCGCCTATTCACTGCCAGCATCCCCTAGCATCTGCTAAGGAGCAGAACAGACCCTCCAATCTATAGAAACACTGGAGTCATAAGCCTTCATAACAATGGGTCACCAGAGCATTCTAGCTTCCTCAAGCTTGTTACACCTGATTTCCTTTTGCTCTGTCAGCAGATCGAATGGCAATGCCAACACCCTTACAGTAATGGAGTGATCTTTCGTGTGGACCTGTTGGGTCCAGCATTACGGCCACGGACAAAGTGTGCAACTCTGAACCCAGCAGACTCCTCACTCGTCTTCGTCAGAAGGACCAGAGACTGTGTGTGCATCCGTACAAACTCCACCCCAGGCCTGGGAAACAATGCCATCAGTACCTGCAACTGTGTGCCAAGACTCACATGGAGATTTTTGAGGGGCCATTAGGGAAGGGGCACATCCGCACTTGAGGTCATGTCCTCTTGGGGACGCTGGAGTCAAGACAGCAGGCCACCCCTCATGCATCCCGGGAGAAAGCCCACCCTCCCCAAGAAGACTGTCACTGGTTGGTCTTTCACACTAAGGTACAATGACTGGCACTTGGGGAAAGGACGTCACAACTTCAGAGGTTTAATATGTTAATCAACACACGGAAAACATTTTGATTCCTATGCAGTTTTGGGTACCGTCCTCTCCAGAATACATTCAAAATAACATGGGGTGTAAGGAACTGAACGACATTCACAATTAAATCTTCTCCTTCAGAGCAAAATAAAATACTCCTCTGTCCATGGAATTCTCCAGTATTCTTGCCTGGAGAATTCCACGGACAGAGGAGCCTGGTGGGCTACAGTCCATGGAGTCGCAAAGTGTTAGACACAGACTGAGCGACTAACATACACATAATATACGGATATCACAGTGGTCTCTTTGAGGAAGATGTGGTGTTGGCTGTCAGAGGCAGGGAGACCTAGCACTTTTCTTATGGGGGAGTCATATCCCATTCCCCACCCTTCCATACTTCTCCTTTAGAAACAGCATTTCGGTTACAAACCCTCGGGTGAAAAACATAAGACATATTTTTCTTGGAAGCATTAGCAGTGTTTTCCCTTCTAAACTGCTTTTCCACTGTTAGACTCCTCATTGTCTTCTTGGAAGATCAGCAAATGCTGTTTTAACAGATTTGAAGCCAGTGCCTTCTCCCATCAAACACAAATGGGAAGAAATATCAAACCTATTTTCAAAACAAGCATCCTTTCTTACAGGAGAGTGTTCATTGAGATCCTAGAGTGGTGCTTTAGCGTCTGTCTAAAAGTACATGGGCCAAAACCCTAGCTTCACTGTAGGATGTCGGGATGCCATGGAGCAGGCTACATCCCACGCTCCTCTCCTCATTGGGTACTTAGAGATGTGGGGTCCATGGACTGGGTCTTCCCTGCTCTGGGAAAGCAGCATGACCCAGACGAATACAAAAGCTCCAACAACCAGGGCTGGAGAAGATCAGAGCTTCACAAATGTTCACTGGGCATCCGTCTTTTCTCACTGTCATTGATTGGTTCATCTCCCCCAACTCAGGAGGCAACTTTTCCTTTGATAAGAGCCAATGTTAAAATAAAAGTGATTTTTTTCTTACCAGTAGAATCAAAGTAAGAATATAGTTTTCCCCTGATTCTCAATAAAGCTCATAACTGCTTTAGGGAGACTCTTAAAAAGATCTCATTTGGCCTGTCCATGAGGCTTCCAATGATTTTTTCTGTGCCAATCAACACTGCATGATTTCAAATAATCCTATTGGAGAGTTTATGTGAGCTCCTATGGCTCCCATCCTGAAAAAGGGAATGGCAGCCCATGCCAGTACTCTTTCTTGGGAGATCCCATGGACAGAGGAGCCTGGAGGGCCATAGTCCATGGGATCACAAAGAGTTGGACATGACTGAGCAACTGAGCACTTGGCTCCCATATTTCAGTTTCCTAGAAATCCATCTCATATTCTCATGCAATTAACTTGTAGAGCTGTGTGTCTTGTAGGATCACGGTTTTGGGGTTCAGGGACACTGTGCAGGGACACTTTAAAGGCTTTTGTCCTACTGTCATACCTCAAATTGTTGATTGTTTCATAATGTTTCTAGTCAACTAGGTATCGTCAAGATTTCACTCTAATCATGTTGAAAACTCAGTGTTACATTTTGGTGTCGTCTGTTTCATTGACTTCCGACAAGACGAAGTTGGGGTTGTCGTAGCCTCTTTTCATCTTGGCTTGAGCGTCTTTCTCATTATAAAGGCACATGGCACAGTGAGGTGTCTCCACTTCCACAGTCTTGCTAAAGTTATGGAAATCCACTCGGTATTTCCCTTCCTTGGTCTTGGACACTATGGGAGCAAAACGGTAACCCCAGAGCACCTCTTCTGGGACGTAGGATGTCCGGACTTGGCAGGTGGCACTGGTTGACTCCACTGTGCCATCTAAAAACACCACTAGTTCAAAGTCCTGCTGGGGAAGGGTTTCTGCTGCCATGTGGAAGAAGGGGCTGGTGTGATCAATAACATGGTAAATCGTCAGTGGGGAGATGAAGAATAAATTTTCATTCCCTGCATCAACCACAAAGTTGATATTGATCTGGTCCAAAATGATGGTCTCTCCTTCAGGAGTGATAGTGGTCCTCAGAAGCTTTCCGTATATGTGACTGCCAATGAGGAGGCTCTTCCGAAGATTAGCCACTCGGATCAGGAGACAAAGCTTCCCACCCCGCTTGCTGATCACTGCATTCTTGCTGAAAGTAATGGTCTTGGCACGTTTTTTGGGTCTGGAGATCTTGGCTAAAATAGCACCACACATGAAAGAATTGATGATGACTCCGAGTATAGATTGGAAGATGAGCAGAAAAATGGCAGTACCACACTGTTCTGTCACACACCTGAATCCATAGCCAATGGTCACTTGCGTTTCCAGAGAAAACAGAAAAGCTGAGGTCAAGCCATTAATGTGTTCCACACAAGGGGTGTGGTTGGCAGGGGGATGGAACTCAGGGAGGTCTTTGTGGATGTAGGCAACCACGTACCACAGGAGGCCAAAGAAGAACCAGCTGCCCAAGAAGGCTGTAATGAAGACGGTCATTTTGTATCTCCACTTGAGGTCCAGCACAGTCGTCCATATGTCCACAAAGAATATCAGCCTCGACTGTGCCTCCACATTGCCAAATTCAATGTTGCACCTTCCATCTTTGGAGACCAGCCTCGCTCTCCGCCGAGAACGCCCAAAAAATCGAGTGACAAACCATTTCCGAAGATGCTTGAACATTCTTTCTGTCAACACACTGATCTGAAAACACATCAAAGAAAGACAAAACAGTAGAAAATTATGTGCATTGCACTAATGAGCTCAGTGACTCACATGAAGAAGCTGTCTATGAAAAGGCCATTCAGTACCATCTGTGTGACTGATCACTTGGGCAAGCTGACAACTTTATTTTGGATCCTGCAATGCTATTTCCAGTAAAAACTCTACTATAAGACCAAATGGCTTAAAGATAAAGAGGCAAAATAATTACAGGGAGATAGACATGCTAAGGAACCTGAGAGAATATATATCCACGTGTTTTCTGACATTAGTCACGCTCAACCTTAAAAATGTTTCTGATAACACAGACATAGAGAACAGACTTTTGGTTGCCAAGGGAATGGTCAGGTGGGGGAAAGATGGAGATGAATTTTGGGGTTAGCAGATGCAAGCTAGTATATATAGGATGGATAAGCAGCAAGGTCCTACTGTATAGCACGGGGAACTCTTCAATACCTTGAGATAAACCATAACGGCATAGAAAATAAAAAAGAATCTATCTATCTATATATATACATATGTATGTATGTATAGCTGAATTACTTTTCTGTGAAATATAGATTAACACAACATTGTGAGTTAACAGCTTCAATAAAATAAAATTTTTAAAAAGTTTATGATAACAAATTATGACCTGTAATCTGATTTATTTGATAGTATTCTTTAAATTGACTCTCCTTTTTTCTTTAATAAATTTAGACTTAAGCTAAGCAAAAATATCTGTGACAGCAGAAACTTAATGCCCTATTTACATTTTTGGTTCATATATAGAAATAAATAACTATGGGGGAAAGTTTCACAACATATTACCTAAATCACCTTGTAGCTAGAGAAATTATAATCCAATTCAATTCTCTCATTTATCTAATGAAGGAATTGAGAAAATTTCAGTGACATATCCAAAGTCAGGTACCCTAGCAAAAATGAACACAACATTGTAAGTCAACTATAATTCAATCAAAATTAAAAACAACAGCATAGTCAGGAACCTGACCAGTGGCAGGATGACAACCAGAACATGAGTTTCTCTGCTTCCAGGTCAGGGAAATCTCTACTTCACTTGTGTCTCAGTTATTACTTTGTTTATATTCTAAAGTGAGATTTCTCTGGAACATTTTAAAACAAACTTTGATCAACTTCCTTATTTTGTGCTCGACACTATTTGAAACAGAGTTCCTCAGCACTGTTTAGTCAAGTCCTATCATAAGATCTGAGATGTTTTCTCCATGGATCGCAAGTCTGGGATGCCAAGATTCCCAAAGGGAACATTAAGATGGTCACTGTCAGTGTCTCCCACTTTCTTCCCTGCTCCCAAGCCGACAGATGGAGCATTGTGATTTAACGAATCCTACATAAGGTAGAAACGTGTTTTATTCACTCCTCTATCCTAGCTGTTAGCACAGACCATGGGGGCTTACTATTTATTCAATCAGCATCAATGGACTCATTCCGGGAATGAATTAAGAGCTTCAAAATACTATGTGGGCAAAGGTCTAATTAGAAACATAATTGTAGCTTCCATTTTACAGCACAGCACTGAAGGGATTTCCCCCAAACAGCCAACACGGCTCAATATCCCGGGGTCATAACTCTAGATGGCCCCCTCCTCTCGGTGTGCCCACCCCACTCCCAAGGTGTGCCTGTTGTGGTTAGCAGTGTCTTCGTGGTATTTTTAATCAAATGCAAACACGTTTCTAAAATAGATTTCAAAATCCCCCTTCAAAAATGTGTTTATTCATACAAACTAGGAAGCGAAACCAACTTAGTGATAAAAGTTAAACAAAAGCGATATTCTATCGCGTCTTGCCCATGGCCTTCAACCATGTGAAAACACAAGAGGACCCCAAGTAGAAGTGGTAAAGAGAAAAAAACAAATATATAGAAATAAAAGAAAATATTACCAAGAGAGCAGACAGAAGTTCACTCTCTCTGGGGGCCCTGCTCTCATCCCACCCAATATTCATTGACCTCAAGCCCCCAAAGAGTTCCAAGTGCATGGTCCCAAGAGCAACTCAGCCAGGGAAATGGTCTCTTTCTTCCTCAATCCTTCCCTCTCTCTGCACACATCTCATCTAATTTTGCTTCTATCCACTGGGGATGTTCTCCCTTTCCCAGGTTTGTGGAAGCTCAGACTGTTTCCAAAAGCTCTTCATAGGGTAGATCTCACCTAAAACAATAACTTCTTTTAAAGTCAACATTCATCAGTCAAATCCACAGCCTCTTTGTCACACATTATAATTCCAGTGGTAACTCCTAACACACTAAACTCTGGGTTTTTCTGCCTGACCATTCTTGTCCTTCAGGTCTACCTAAATTCATTTTAATTTTGATGAGAGTATTTCTGTAGAGTGAATGAATCCCCCCTGATTAATTTCTCAGAAAAGCTGGAGTTTCCATGCTTGCCCTCCTAAGAAAATATTATCTGCCTGGCCATGCAAAGAGCCAGACCAAAACCAACCAGCTTAAAAAGTTTTCCCCACATGGAAACCCACATGCACTTACCAACACCATCTTAAACATATTCCGTCCCGAAGTGTCCACAGCCGAGAAAAGCAAGGAGAAGTTTTGGGAACTGGTCTCCGTAAGCAGGCTGATTTCTTCTAAACCCAGCTTAATTTATTGTATGCTTTGGCCAGTGAACTGATGATAATTTGCTTTAGCCTTAAAACGTTAATTTGATAGTGGAGTTGTGTGGTTTAAACCAAGGCAATTGGTTGTTCTCAGGCCAAGCCCTAAGCTGGGTATGTATTTTTTTTCCAGACGTCACATGGCTTGAATACCGTCATGCTAAGACATGACAAGCTGCCAGCTAAGGTCCTTGAGCAGCAGGCATGGATTCTGTTCCAGCATTTCCCTCTTCTCCTTTGCCACCCTCTGTAGCCCTCTCGCTTTTTCTTCTAGCTTGTGCCTGATACCTTTCACCAGAAACAATCAAGTTATTGTCAATCTCCCAGCCTATCTCAGAAACACACAGGGATACTGAGATTTCCAAGTGTTCACAAACATACAGGTGGATTATATAGACAAAGATAAGCACAGGTTTGTAAGGCAAAGATAAGATCACACCAGGAAGCAACAAGATACCCCGTTAATCTCTCTACACAGCATTCACTGTTATGTAAGAAACTGAGATTTATTATTTTTTTTGACACTGCATTGTACTTTTTAATTGCACAGGTAGTTTTAAATAAATAGAGAAAGCACCTTCCAAAAGTTATACTAGCAGGGAAAGATTTCATCAAGCGTTTACATAGTGGTTTTCTGTAATTTTACAAAAGATTCTTGATCTTTACTTGAACTGTACATGAGGGAAAAGCAGCCCCCTCAGGTAGGCGTTCTGCTTGCAGAAGCAAACTAAAGGACCGAAAATCAGAGGCAAGCCTGGGTTGCCGAGAAGGGAAAAGAGAAATTGATAAAGGACCATTCCTTAACTCCATGTCTGAAACACTTATCGTGTGACCCTTGTGTAAGTACTTCAAGGCAAACCACCACCGTTAAGATAAAGGTGCACCCTCAGAAGCTGTAATTCTCGATCACAGTAATGTATCTACGTACCCCCGACCACTAAAGGTCAAAAGACAATGCTTGGGGTAACCCAGGAGGCTTGAACAAATCCTTTAGAGGAGCTCTCCAGGACCACACCCCGTCTACTCTGGCTTTTTGGATGAAGCACAGGCCTCTGGGCTGCCCTCCCGGCAGTGTCACAGTCAGGAAAAGAGCATCAGTACTGGATCACCCCTCAGACACGAATCAGCTGGGGAAAGAGTTCACTGGCAAAAGGGTCCTCCCAAGAATGGTCTGCATCAAGCAGGAAGGACATGTCGCTCAAGGGAGAAGGGGAACCCTCATATCTACAGTCACTGGAAGCATCCAGCAGGCAGGAAGATGGCTTCAGGCAGTTGCTGGTTGAAAGCAGATCTGAGATACCCAGCTCTGGAATGAAGTCATCTTCTACAAGTTCTTCCTTCACTGAGACAGTGAATTCAGGGTGACCTTTCTCTGAGGGGCTGAAAGGTGCTTCCTCAATTTTCACTACCACATCGGCTTGGCTCTCTGTCTCAGAGGGCATCTCTAAGACAAGGGGCTTTGTATATACATGGTCAAAACGAATCAGTTCATTAATGGCTTCCAGCTTGGCTGATGACGTCCCCAAGGATGGAGAAGGGGAGGCCGGTAAGGAACTGGGTCTTGCTGGGTCCACTTCTGGGAGCTGCTCCAGGCTGGCAGACTCTGGGGAAGGACATCTGAGGAACATGACTGGATCCAAGTCGAACAGAATGCCCAACAGGATATCAGACTCAGAGTCTGAAGAGTAAACACCATTAGAGTCCATGGGGAGATGTTCTGGATGGGTGACAACTGGGCCTGCACCTGCTGCAGAGGTGCATAGTCTGAGTGCTGCGGACTCAGCAGACCCGGCCACCGGCCCCACTCCATTCCCCTTGGTCTCTGCTTCCTCTTCAGTCACTAGGGCATCCATCCCCAACCACTGTCTTAACTCCTGATTCTCAACTACAAAGCCATGAGTTTTCTCTCGTAAAAGCTGATTTTATAACAAAAGCTTTTGGTTCTCTTCTTCCAAATCTACCACTTGTTGCTCCAGCTCACTCATTTGAGCTTTCTTTCAGTCTCTGGCAGTCTGAGCTGCTACTCTGTTTTTCAGTTTCCTCTGCAGTGCCTTCTCTTCAGGGTTCAGGTGCATGAGGCGCTGTCACTTGCGTGCCTGGGGAGGCCCCCCGCTAGTCCCCTCCGGGCTGGCCCCTTGATGGCCTGGCACCATGACTGGCAGAGCCCAGCCAGCTGGGGCTCTAGTGGCAGCAGCGGGCTGGCTGGACAGAAGCAGTACTTTAGGAGCCCCGGTGGCCAGGCTCTGCACAGATGCAACTACCACCATGGCTGGAGCGTGTCTACGCCCAGAAACTTTATTGTTGGATTGATCTTGTGAAATCTGGCACTTACTAAAAATGGTTTGTATATGCACTGTGCCAGGGTCCAGCCTCAGTAGGATCCAGGGGTACCCTCAGGATGAACGGTGTCAGCGAGAGAGAGAGAGAGAGAGAGACCAGACTGGGGTGTGCAGCAGGGTCTGGTGCTTCTTTACTTTTCACTGTAGCTTTTATATCTTAAGTTAGTACATTTCTAAAGGGAGGTGAAAGATAAGCATACAGAGTTAGTTTAACATTAGGTCAGTTTGCCCTTTACGAAACCAAGATGTTTTCTGCATACTTCTTTGTTTATGAGAGTCTTTTTTCATAGTAGATATTTGTACCTTATCTTCTGGCCTTGGGGCCTACTGACATTTTATGACCTAGGTGAATGCAAAGCTGTTTTCCGTAATCTATTCTTCATTGTTCCATTTTGCCTTGAGCTTAACAGAAAACAGAAAAGTTGCAGTTTCATGGTACAGCAGGTTGCAGCATAGTAGAAATACAATCCTGTTAACACAAAGGTCAGTCCTTTTTGCAGAAGTTATTTATCTAAAAGGTTTACCACACAAAGATTCTGCAGCTCCGGTGAGGCAGCCCCTGTTTAGCATTCCTGGTTAAAATTAACAATTAAATTATTGTTTCCACACTAAAGCTAAACTCTTAGTTTTCTAAATATTTAACTGTACTAACAATAGTTTTCACTGCACAACCTCAGCACGTTAAGAGCAAAAACACAGTAAGCAAGCATTGACCTAATAACCACTTTTAGAATAATATTTTTTGTGTTCTCTAATAGGGCTTCCTCACCCGCCAAAGGGTTCTGTGCCTATTAGGGCCTTTTATGTGATCAGGTTCTTTATGCCATTTATGATTAAGGTGTTGTGAGCAGTCATGTGCATTAGTATGCATTTGCCAAGCAGGCTAGAGTGCCTGAAAAGGGGTCTAAATTGAAACACTCCTTTCATCCTAGATAATCTTACAGAATACCACTGTCTGGGGGACATATTGATTAAAGTTCTAAGTTGATTCTGTTTGGAAAGAGGTCGAGGAAGGCCTTCTACCCATGTCACAGAAATTAGGGAGTAGTCTAATATAGCAAGCATCAGAAAGACAGATATCATCTTTAAGGTGAGCACTGGGGAAGCTTTTCGAAATCCCTGAAGTCCTGATTTGCCTTGCTTGTCAGGTCTTCTCCTCATGACCTTGTCATGGGTGGGATCTCGTGTGCTGGCTCCTGGCAGCACTGAGTTAGTCAATGCTGTTGATTTATGTATTCAAACAGTAAGAGGAATTATACCTAGAGAATGCGAGAATACAGGATAAATTCTTTCTCTGACCAACCCTATCTTTCTCATGGTAGACTCATTATACACAGCCCACATCTTCCTTTGCTTAGACAATGACATTTAATCCCACCCTAGACAGAACCAATATGTGTTTTTTTAACTATTGAGTTATTAGAGATTGGCCCCAGATTATGTAACATGCACAGTCTCTAGGTTACTTTCTAATAAATCAGTAAATCTTAATAGCAAGCATAGGGCTGTCCATTAGCTAGTGTTTACCAAGGTCTTCTTAATGGCCTGGCAAAGCAAGTGGATTTATTATTGCCATTTTTTTCTTCTTCAGGGCTCCAGCATTCTTTTTTAGTCAACAGTACATTCTTAAAAAACAGACTTTGTATGAACTTTCCAAACATTGAGTGTATGCTCATTGTGTAGGATTTCAAAGACAAATAGAAATCTGTTCTTGTTCTCAAGGAGCTCGCAGTCAAAGGGGGAAGTGAGCTCAGTAAATGAGCAATTACAAGGTCATGTGGTTTGTATAACACCAGGGGGCTCATCTCTGCTTGAAGGTCTCTACTAGATGGGCATCCACGCCCTGCAAAAATACCTCAACCGACAGAAAACTTACTTTTGTGTCCATTAATTGATTTATCTGACCAAAGTCCCTCTAGTCAAAGCTATGGTTTTTCTAGTAGTCATGTACAGATGTGAGTTGGATTATAAAGAAGGCTGAGTGCTGAAGAACTGATGCTTTTGAACTGTGGTGTTGGAGAAGACTCCTGAGAGTCCTTTGGACTGCAAGGAGACCAAACCAGTCAATCCTAAAAGAATCAACCCTGAATATTAATTAGGAGGACTGAGGCTGAAACTGAAGCTCCAATACTTTGGCCACCTGATGGGAAGAGCTGTCTCATTGGAAAAGACCCTGATGCTGGGAAAGATTGAAGGCAGGAGGAGAAGGGGTGACAGAGGATGAGTTGGTTGGAAGGCATCACCGACTCAATGGACATGAGTTTGAGCAAACTCCGGGAGATAGTGAAGGCCATAGAAGCCTGGCATAATGCAGTCCATGGGGTCGCAAAGAGTCAGACATGACTAAGCAACTGAACAACAACTAAGCAGCAGGGATGTGTGGATTCTAATGTGTGCCAGACAATCCTTTACCAAATAGCTACAGTCCCTGTCATCCGGAAGAAGCTTCTAATCGAGGTGGGAGATACAAATGAGCTGATAAACCATCAAAAACAGTATATGATACCTACCAGGGTAGCAGATGTTCTGGGAGCATCTTATTTGAAGGGCAGAGAAGTGCATGGAGACCCAAAGCCTGGAGATGGCATCACAGTCACACATAATGGGAACTCTATGATTCATCGAATGGTACTCAGTCAATTAGACAATGCATGCAAAAGTGATAAATCTGCCATCACTTACATGGTTCCCCTTCCAACCATAACTTGGAAGAGACATTTCTGTGCACTGTAACTGCAGTTGTGTTTGTGACCAGGGCAGTGGCATGGAGGAACTGAAAGAATTGCTGGGTACATAGGTGACAGAGAGCTGGGGGAGACACCTGGCTGGCCGACAGCAAGGGCCAGTGCACTCAGCGCCTGTGTGCCTTGCGAGATATTCTCGTCTAGACCTAGAGGAGAAACTGATACCAAGAACTCTGATCTAGTTCTGCCTCAAGGACCACTCATGATATTTCTAAATAAGTGTCATTCTCTTCCGGGGAACAACTCTGCAAATTCTTGAAGATAAACACGTTTTCCTCCTGCATCTCCTTTTCTCCATAGAAACGCAAGATTCATTTTCATACAACACCCCTGGTCACCAAACCCCTCTGTATTCGAAGTGAGATGCCTGCCTTCTGGGCTCCTGGATGACAATTAAAGAGCCAGGACCCAGGCTGTTTTGCAGGCAACCCCCTAAGGAGGAGCCACTGGGAGCTGGGGGTTTCCCCATGGTTGATATAATGCTGCTTCTGTCTCACCCCAGCAGGCTCAGCAGCCACTGTACCCGAGAGAAGATGGCAAAATAGACATCGCTTCTATTATCTCTTCTTTAGAATTACAAAGGCTATCGCTACTCTCTGTAGATGAAAAGACGGCTACTGTAGCCTGCCTTTTGGTCCAACCACTCACAGCTCACACACAGCCTGAGTTCCCTCAGGACATTCATGAGAGTCAAGATTATCTATTAGAGGTGGAAAATAGAAGCTATGGAGCCTGAGAACAGAAGTCCAGTGGCTTTCTGTAGATGCTTTGCAGTGTTGCTGGAGAAGAAATTCAAGTTTCCATGAAAACAGACAGCTTGAATTCAGCCAGGCTTCCCTGGTGGCTCATGGCTTAGACAGTAAAGAATCCGCCTGTAATATGGGAGACCTGGATTCAATTCCTGAGTTGGGAAGATCTCCTGAAGAAGGGAACAGCTACCCACTCCAGTATCCTTCCGGGAAAATTCCATGGACAGAGGAGCCTAGTGGGCTACAGTCCATGGGGTTGCAAGGAGTAGGACACGACCGAGCAACTTTCATTCTCACTGGATTCAGCCTGCCGGTCAACCACATGAACTAACATTTCCTGATGACCTGTGGGTAGCAGGGCATGGAATGGGATTATGGACCTTCTAAATGAAATCAAGAAAACTCTCCACTGATTGAACTCACTACTTGCCAGGTGCTACACTAGGAAGCAAAAGAGGCAACAGTTCCTACTGTGAAGTTGCTCAGGGATACAGAGTAACTTGTCATTATCCAATCATTGCAGGGCAGCATCTTTGCTTCCCTGAAGGGGTTGAGGACACCAGAGAGCAGATACAAGAGGCTGAAGGTCAAGTTTATACTCTTCAGCACAAAATGCATCTGACTGGTACCGCAGAGAACTTCCTGTTTTCTATGAAAACGGCCTCAAGCTGTTGGAGGATGGCCACCCAGCTAAATTTGCAAAGTTTCAGTGCCTAAGGAGCATCCAGTTAGCCACCTCCCAGGATGCTGACATCTAGAACTATTGTTGACAGAGGGCATCGTTGCCTTTCTGTTCAGTATTCCCAGAGAAGTCACCTCAGCTATCTTTAGCTCTAGCAGGCTGCTCACTTGGGCTCAGACTGAGTTCTTCTTA